CCATTAAAAAGCCAACTCGGCTTAAAATATGAGCAAACCCCTGTGCACCCTGAGATTGGGATATTTTAAAAGGATCCTGCCAGGATTCACTGCTGTTTGTCAGTGTGCACAGCTACTCACATCAGCCCCATTTCCATCTAAATTGAACCGGTGTCCATTGTTGGGGATGGTGAGATTTCCCGTCACACACGAGTGAGACCAGGCTGCAGAGCTCCGATTGTCCTGCCTTTTTTAGTCTCGCATTACGAGTGCATTCACAGGAAAAGAGAAACAGCAACACATCAGATAGATTAGAGGCATATTACTATAATGAACATGAGCAAAGACTAGACACCTGATCAGGCTTATCACAAGTAAAGTCCTGGCTAGGCCCATGCAAACAAACAAGGATCCATTCAACCATTTTCCATATTAACCAAGTCACTTGTTTTATTTGACACAGTCAAGACTAAAGTGAGTGGTATGTTTTATATTGTGCATTTCTCTGTAAAATATCTCCCCTTGATCTTTTTGCATTTCATGCCTCTATGAATGTGTTACACCACCACTACTGGTGAATATCAAAGACTGCAAAGATATGTACAGTGGAATTTGATTTGCCTGGGCACATTCAGCAGAGAGAATGTTCTTCTTCCCCTATACTGACAGCACAGGGAACATGTTCAGACACATCCACTCAATACATCAGTAAACACTACAGGAGCCCATCCTTAACACAGCTGTCTACATACACATGGTTCAACAGCGAATGACACAAATGACTTTAACGCCCTTGGTGACATCATGGTTTTGAGCTCTTTAGCCATCTCTTTTCATCTGCTTGAATATCTGGTTCCTTCATAACACTCTCTGCTCATTTTTTCCCCTTTAAGATGAAAGTGCAATAATTTCCTGGGGAAGCCTTCCATGATGTAATCTTGGAGATCAATAAATGTCAGCCGTCCCCCCCACTGCAGGCAGCTGGCATATTTCTCAACCCCCATCCCGCACACCAGGCCCAGGGCCCTCTAGAGGGATTGAGGGTTCGGCCTGAGCCTGTCTGGAGAACAAATTGGTTGCACTCATCTCATTCATGTGCATATGCTCAAATTCATTTTGCGTGACCACAAGCTTGTTGGTTTGTGCAGTGCAGAGACAGATGGATACTTGTGTTGCAGTGTTGAGATTCAATTCATTAGTGAGAGATCTGCTAAATAAGCATCTCTGGTAAATGAGAGAACAGCATGTTAAAGCAGTGTGGGTCTAATACCGTTTCAGCTACACAATAAGAAGAGATTTATGACAACACTGGATGTTAAACAACAATCAAATAGCATGTGGAAAAAGTGTTCTACAGGGTTGAAAACCTAGTAACAAATTTAGACCAATTCCGAACAAGTCAATTATTTTTATGCTATGCCCGATAACTGACAAATGGCTGATATTATTATTCTATACTATTTTGTCTAAATCAGCAAAAAATAAAAATAAAATTAAAAATCAATCATTGAAATGCATAAAATATTAGATGACAGCAAAGCTAATCTAAATATACATTTTCATTTTAAATTCTGGTTAGTAAATTTTTATCTTTTTATTTTTTTAAAGGTCTCTTACGCTTTCCATGTCTGAATTTATTAAGATAAAAATACAGTAAAAACTGCATTTTACTGTGAATTATTACTATATTTTAAAATAACTATTTTCTAAATATAATTTAAAACAATTTATTCCTGTGATGGCAAAGCTGAATTTTCAGCATCATTGCTCCAGTCTTCAGTGTCACATGATCCTTCAGAAATCATTCTGATATACTGATTTACTGCTCAAGAAACATTTCTTATTATCATCAGTGTTGAAAACCGTTGTGCTGCTTAATTTTTTTTTTATTATCTAGATTTTTTTTTAGGATTCTTTAATAAATAATGTTTAAAAAAAGGCATTTATTTGACTTTTTATAATATTATAAAATGTCAGTCATATCTCACTGACCCTTAACTTTTGAATGGTGTATTTTGAATGGTGTAATGCTCAATTCCCATATTTACAAAAATAAATATTCAAAAAACAAAATTTCAATAGAGTTCCAAAAACTGATTCAGAAGTTGTTGTTTACTCTAGACAGTGGAAAAACATCGGCTGCATGATTTAACAAGCCACAAAACATGTTTTCATGAGAGCTCTGCAAGTATTTCCGCATCTCTGGTTCACACAGGCGGGCTGGTGTTGTACTTTTTAAGAGGCTTGGTATAGAGACCATGTGTTTTTGATCAGGTCAGTCTGGCCTCCTTCAGCCGCAGCTGGAGTTTGTCAGGCTCTGCCAAATAAAATTAAAAATCAATCATTGAAATGCATAAAATATTAGATGACAGCAAAGCTAATCTAAATATACATTTTCATTTTAAATTCTGGTTAGTAAATTTTTATCTTTTTATTTTTTTAAAGGTCTCTTACGCTTTCCATGTCTGAATTTATTAAGATAAAAATACAGTAAAAACTGCATTTTACTGTGAATTATTACTATATTTTAAAATAACTATTTTCTAAATATAATTTAAAACAATTTATTCCTGTGATGGCAAAGCTGAATTTTCAGCATCATTGCTCCAGTCTTCAGTGTCACATGATCCTTCAGAAATCATTCTGATATACTGATTTACTGCTCAAGAAACATTTCTTATTATCATCAGTGTTGAAAACCGTTGTGCTGCTTAATTTTTTTTTTATTATCTAGATTTTTTTTTAGGATTCTTTAATAAATAATGTTTAAAAAAAGGCATTTATTTGACTTTTTATAATATTATAAAATGTCAGTCATATCTCACTGACCCTTAACTTTTGAATGGTGTATTTTGAATGGTGTAATGCTCAATTCCCATATTTACAAAAATAAATATTCAAAAAACAAAATTTCAATAGAGTTCCAAAAACTGATTCAGAAGTTGTTGTTTACTCTAGACAGTGGAAAAACATCGGCTGCATGATTTAACAAGCCACAAAACATGTTTTCATGAGAGCTCTGCAAGTATTTCCGCATCTCTGGTTCACACAGGCGGGCTGGTGTTGTACTTTTTAAGAGGCTTGGTATAGAGACCATGTGTTTTTGATCAGGTCAGTCTGGCCTCCTTCAGCCGCAGCTGGAGTTTGTCAGGCTCTGCCTCCCCAGGTGTGGGGATATTGGGAGTCTTTGCATAAGCCCCTTAGTGAGTACGTGAACACGGCTGTTTCCAGTACACCAGCTGAATCACCACTGTTGCATAACAACATTTAGGCACTTGGTAATTCACACACTTGGATTCTAAGTTGACCATTAAAGCGACAGCGACATGTATAAGATGTGTAACCCAACTCTAAAGTGCACTGATCGTGCCATCCTGTAGCACACAAAAACAAAGCATCCAGTTTTTATGTAAACAGCCACACAAAAATCCTTCTTCCTACTTTGTCTGCAAACTTCAATGGACTGAAAAAAACTAAATTTCGCAAGAACATACTGGGCGGCTTATCTATTCAGATTTAGGATCTTGCTTTGGAACTAGTGGTTGTTTTTGTAAGCCGTTTCTGGAGAGAAGTACAGAGAGGAGGCGTGGAGTATTTCTCCACCAAAGTACTGCAGAGAACATATCATAATAAACACAACTCTGGCCAGCGTTGAGATCATTGCACACAACTCCAACTGCAAAACGAAAACAACGGAGTTGAGCAAGAGCACAAAGCCCATCAAACCACAAGGAACCATATGCATCCCATATTGCAATGCAAAAACTTTGCATCACAACTCAAACCATAAAGGCCTGCGCAGGAGGCTTCAAAAGAAACTGGTACTAAGCCCAGGACCATATATATATATATATATATATATATATATAATAACTTTAATAACCTCATTGTGGTGACATAAGACCTTATAAGAAAGGTACATTAAAGGCAGCTGCCTACAACAATACTAGTTGCCTCAGGTTTGTTGTTGCCTCCAAAACCAATGACGAAAGCAAATATTACATCACCAGTTCTTTTCACAAGACCCTGTGGAAGTTAAGTTGAAACTTGCACGTGAAGGAAACTTGCCAACTTGTTCAAGTTGAGCATAACAGACCCTTTTAGAAAGGTTCTTATAATTAAAGACCTCTAGCAACATGTAGAAACAACTCAGAAGTTGCAGACAGCATGCGATACCAATGCTACATCTGTTTACTTGTGAAAAACTATTTTCACTTCCTCTTCTGTCAGACAAATCAGTGAGATAACAAAAATACAGTACACATACAGTGTAGCAAAGTCTTTAAATGGGGAAAAAAATAGCAAGTTGACTGACACCTTGATCTTGAAAATATTACATGTTTAAGACACAAAACACAGGCTTAACTCGCCATATGATTGTCTTTGACCGGATATACCAGGACATTGCATTACAATAAAACCTTTAACTGTGAGACTCCTACAACACACATATTTTATGAACATAATGATGACACATGATTACAATATAGCTGACAGTTCAGCAGAACAGTGTATTTAGAAAAGGCAAAGCTGAATTACGTCTAAACTGATCTGGGACTTACAGTTTCTTCAGTGTTTGTTTTATAGTAAGAGTACAAATGCATATATACAGCAGTTTTGTAGGTTCTTGACAATATAATTTCTAATCATGTGTAGTCCATAAATCATAACTGGTTAGGCTGGAATGCCCGTTTCTGTATTCTCACTCAAGAAAAGCTTCATATCACGTAATATTAGTAACAACATTTATTTACATACAAACACGGGACTAATGCCTGTTGAGACTAAACTCCAGTTAACCGTCGTGTTAAACTAGCTGGCTACCTATTAAAATAGCGGTGGTTAGTGGGGGCTTTCTGGTGTTCAAGCTACACTGAATAGGACTTTTACTCGCAGCTGACTGAGGGACGCTGGGAGTCCACTTGACGTTTCAAAACAAAATACGGTGTGCACCTTTATCAAACTGACAGATAATACCGACCCTCTCAATAAATGAACAAATAAAGTGAACAACTACTTACCCAAATAAATGTCACCAAAGGATCCAGAGCCAATTTTCCTTCCCAGTCTGTATCGGTTTCCTACTCTCAGCTCCATGATAAATGGCTAAATAACAAAGCTAGCGATGAAGCTAGCTTTAACGGGAGTAGTTTAAATGATATACGTTCGGAGTGTTTAATAAAAGCAACAAAAACCCGTTCTTTGTTACCCGTCTATTCTTCCGTCTCTCCCTGCCAGAATTCCCTTATACAGCCTGCTAGCTTGCTAATTCCCTTCACAGTAGCTACCCAGCTTTCACCAGTCGTTTTCTAACATTCCGAATCTGGAAATATCAAAATATCAGGCTTATTAAAAAGAGTAAAGTGTGAACTTTATGCTCTAGTAAGTTTTACCCTGAAAATAGTCTGTTTAAAGAAGGATGAAGGCGGATTTTGAGAACGACTCCCCCTAGCTCCGCGGACTCTCTGTGTATCTGCTACAGCAGACGCTCCATCAGCGGCAGCGCAGTGATCAGCCAGCCGACCGCCGTGGCGTCACTTCCCCTAGCAACAGCGGGCCACTGGAAAAGGTTGTGGTTGACACAACAAACCGTCTGCTAGGATTCTTATTGTTAAATCGGTTGAGATTTTCAAACATCCATTGCCGTAACTCCATTAATACGTGAAGAATGTTTATTAAAAGTTAGTTAAGTGTTTTATTAGCGATATTCCCACTAATAAACCCGGACAATGCAGAGGGATGTAAATAATTGTGAATAAATAAACATTTATGTGACCCTGCTGGACCACAAAACCAGTCAAACTGGTAATTTTTAAAAAAACTGATATTTGTGCATTAAAGAAGGATGAAGGCGGATTTTGAGAACGACTCCCCCTAGCTCCGCGGACTCTGTGTATCTGCTACAGCAGACGCTCCATCAGCGGCAGCGCAGTGATCAGCCAGCCGACCGCCGTGGCGTCACTTCCCCTAGCAACAGCGGGCCACTGGAAAAGGTTGTGGTTGACACAACAAACCGTATGCTAGGATTCTTATTGTTAAATCGGTTGAGATTTTCAAACATCCATTGCCGTAACTCCATTAATACGTGAAGAATGTTTATTAAAAGTTAGTTAAGTGTTTTATTAGCGATATTCCCACTAATAAACCCGGACAATGCAGAGGGATGTAAATAATTGTGAATAAATAAACATTTATGTGACCCTGCTGGACCACAAAACCAGTCAAACTGGTAATTTTTAAAAAAACTGATATTTGTGCATCGTCTGAAAGCTGAATAAATAAGCTTTCCATTTGGTGTATGGTTTGTTATGATAGGACAATATTTGGCCGAGATACAACTATTTGAACATCTGGAATCTGAGGGTGCAAAAAAATCAAAATATTGAGAAAATCGCCTTTAAAATTGTCGAAATGAAGTCCTTAGCAATGCATATTACTAATCAAAAATGAAGTTTTGATATACAGGTGCATCTCAATAAATTAGAATGTCGTGGAAAAGTTCATTAATTCAGTAATTCAACTCAAATTGTGAAACTCGTGTATTAAATAAATTCAGTATTCAATGCACACAGACTGAAGTAGTTTAAGTCTTTGGTTCTTTTAATTGTGATGATTTTAGCTCACATTTAACACAAACCCACCAATTCACTATCTCAACAAATTAGAATACTTCATAAGACCAATAAAAAAAAAACATTTTTAGTGAATTGTTGGCCTTCTGGAAAGTATGTTCATTTACTGTACATGTACTCAATACTTGGTAGGGGCTCCTTTTGCTTTAATTACTGCATCAGTGCGGCGTGGCATGGACTACAAAATACCTTAATGGAACATGATCTTTACCTAATATCCTAATGATTTTTGGCATAAAAGATAAATAGATCATTTTGACTCATACAATTTATTTTTGGCTATTGCTACAAATATACCTGTGCTACTTATGACTGGCTTTGTGGTCCAGGGTCACATATATGTAAGTCAGCTAAATATGTAATTGCTGAATTAGATCAATTGTTTGTCTATTGTAGCCTACTTAGTTCAACACTGAAAATGACAAAGTTTACATCTGCGAGTGTTAACTGGGTGTGTTCATGATGATGTGTCGGGAAGATAGCTTGCAAAACCAGTTTGGTGAAGTCGAAACTTACGTTGAACACATAACTGACATCTTATCTCTCTTTATGTAATCAAATAAAAATAGACTTAAGACGGAGATAATAGGTGCACAGTAGTTTCGGGAAAGATTTGTAAAATTAGCCTAATATTGATTGGGTTTAAAGTGGTTTATGTCCTTTGTTTATTTATTACAGTAGACTTGCTTATGAGCACCTGCATTATTCAAATATTAAAAAAGCCATTTCTAATCATCTAAATTTCACTTGACTTACACAAGCAAAGCATTGATATGCAAAAATTATTCTGAAAGTTATGGAGAGAGCTGTCCAAGGCCATAGACTAAAACATTAATAATAACATTTCATATCAAAGAAAGCATGCAATCTAGCAAACTGAATATATCCACAACATTACTTGAGTCTTTACAGTAAATTAGCGCCTAAAAATGTAACAATAATATAAAGCTAAATATTTACTAATTTCAATATGAAGCCTATAAGGAAGTGGAAAGAGACAATAGCTACAGGAACTTATGCAGATAATGACTGATTGGTGCACATGTTTGCCTGCTGATAAGAATTTTTTTAGCGCAATTACATGTATTTAAATTACAGATATTACTTAATAGCCTTTTTAAAGTTCAAATGTAAGCTTCATTTCATTCATATTTAATGAAGTCATGTTCAGAGATGCAGCTGTACAATGTAACATGATGCCGTAAACTGTCCTAATGTTTTAGGGGAAAGAACAATACATTTATTACAAAACAAATATAAACATATAAGAACATTTCCTCGCGGTATGTTTTGAAAAACAACTTTTCTAAGTATTTTGAGCCCCTTTTCTGAAACATGATCATTTTTGTCTGATAACGCCCACAGAAGCTGATTCAGTTGTTTTCAGTGGAGCATGATTGGTCAGAGCAGAGCCAACGCTTGAGGCTGTATGGGTGAGAGTCACGTGACTGGATTACTCAGCTTTCCGTTGCATGTGCTCAGTCACGTTGAGAGCAATGCGCCAGGAAAGTCTGTGAACGCCCACAATAACAGCCATAGCAGATTTCCAGAGCTCTAGCTTCAGCACACTGTATTAGTGCAGTGATAAACAACTCAAGATCTAAACAGAGGGAAACAAACACATTCACAACAAATGAATGTTCTTCTGTAGATTCTAGCTTAACTGGTACTTTCTGTAAAGTGTTTCCCCCAGTGCTCTGTCAACACACATGTCCTGAAACAACTGCATGCATTGATTCTATTCTTAATAAAGAGAAGTGTCAAGATAACATATCACAGGCATTCTGCATTAATGGGCAACCTCGAAAACAACACATCTCAAAGTGCTTCTCAAAACAATGATGTATTCAAGTCAATATTTTTAATATTATATTTTTAATATTACTGAGTACAAATATTTAACAATATGTCTAATTACAATAAAACTGCTCTGAAGACTGTATATTAGAAAAATAAAGATCAATTGAACATTGCTGAGTACAAATGTTTTTTCATGATTCATTCTGAATATTTGGTCATTTAATAATATTTCATGTAGTTTGTAATAACTCTTTCCTTATTCTTCTATTAGTTAATGAACGTGTACATCTGAGACCTGCCATTTTTCTTCGTGTTTTTCACAAATAAACCTTCATTGTGACTGAAGCAGTCAACAGACCCAACATCATGTCTTTTGCAACAATTTCATTATACTCCCTACTTATGCAGAACTGTTTGTTGCCATACTACAGGTGTTTAGGACAGTAAGTAGTTTTACTACATATTACTTATAGCGTTTTTGTAGCACAAAATGTCCCCACAAAGATGGCAATATCCAAAATTCTAGTTCTTGGGGGGACATTTTTTGGTCCCCATGAGAAAACAAGCTTATAAATGAAACAGAATTAAGTTTTTTGAAAATCTTAAAATGCCAGCAGCCTTTGTGTGGGGTAGGGTTAGGGTAAGGGGATAGAAAATACAGTTTGTACAGTATAAAACCCAATAGGACTATGAATTGTCCCCATAAAACATGGAAACCCAAACGTGTGTGCGTCTGTGTCTGTGTATATATTTGCTTTTACTTTTGTTTGTTTACCAAAACAATGTGGTAGGCCTACTTAATCTTTATTGAAACATTGTCTTATTTATCTTCTTAGGTCATCTAAACATCCTGTATCTTTTTAATAACTAATCGTGAATTCATGGTAAAAACAATGACATCTAAACAGTAAAGTAAACACAGGACAGAAAATAGCTTAGACGGAAAGAGACTGAACGCAGAGAGTATGCCTACAAAATGATTAGGTCAACACTGACATCTAGCGGTCAATTATAGAATGGACGTATTTCACCTCTAATCTGTGAAGAGTTGAACGAAAAATCGAAAGAAAACTGATTTTTAAGATTCTATATCCCAGATTGCCTTACTGAAAACCTTTCCATTGACCTGGCGCAAACATGGATGTTGCGTATAAACAAACACGATCACATACAAATAATATATA